GTTTCGGAGACAACATACATCTACATTGAACGTTTCGAGAGTTTTAGCCAAGGCACCCTAGTGAGCACACTCAACGTATAGATATGGCCCAGTTCACTGGCAACCTCTATAATCAAACAATGTGAGTGAAAATTACTTGGAAACTATGAGGGTTCTATCGACACCGTTATCATTTTGTTCATCAGAGAACACAACTTCCTGAGTGATGGGTAGGTCAACGCTCCAGGCCATATGGTAGCATTGAGGCTAATGTTTGTTCTGACCTTAGGAATACACATGCGACACAAGAAGATTACTATGGCAGTATCATGTACGTGTCTGCATTTCGGCGATGTGAGACAGATGTATTCCACCTCAATTAGACTGTAGCACAAAAAACTGCGCAGATAAATAGATGGATAGATAGATAGATATATAGATAGATAGATAGATAGATAGATAGATAGATAGATAGATAGAGAGTTAGTAGATAGTTAGATACATAGAAAGATGGATAGAAGGATAGATACATAATGAGGAAGATAAATAGATAGATAGATAGATAGATAGATAGATAGATGAAATGTACGGGAAATGTACGCTGCTATTCTGCGAATTTTAAGGTTACAAGGCTAGTCCGTAGATAGCATTCATTGTAGCCTTCCGGTTGTCTCAGAAGGCCGAGTATTCTCAAAGACACGTTAACATGTACCGGTTTCTTTGTATGGTTTTATCCGCCTGGAAAACGTTGACCTTGCCTCCGATATTCAAACAGTGAACTTCTCACACATAGGTAACCTGATAGATAAGTTGCCACTTTATCGCATTCATTCCGAACCGGAGTCATGGGGATATCACATAAGTAACTCATACCATCAATGGTTGTAGGTCAACTGGCATGGGTGAGTACAGTTCACCAATAGGATTGAGGACTAACTGAGTATCGTTCGCTACAATCAGGCATTCTGGTTGCATCTCGTGAGGAATTGAGAACACAATTTAAGGGGTTTAGATAAAAATTTGAGCTGTTTTGGTGGAGTGCGGTTCTGAACTCACCGTAGTAAGGCTGTTTAATCAACGATGTCACATTTTTCTAGTGTACATCTGTGTACCTTGTGATGTGAGCAAAAAGCATTTGAACAAACAATTTAAGCTTTGCTTAGGGCTCCGAGACTCTGAAGATACTTTTAGAATCTGATCAGGCAATTCAGCATTATTCTCGTCTGAATAGCACTATTGGACAGTACCTGGCTTAGCACTGTGATCACATTGGTTTAATGGGGTAGCCATATGCACCTTTGAAGCCGAACAATAATCTGTCTGAAATTTTGCCCCATTTACCCAGATGCGTCAACCCCATCAACATCATCGTACAGCCAAATACACTGAGGCGAACTTCACTGATCGCTACCAAACTCGCAATGCATATGCATTGGGATTTGATGGACGGGTACTGTTAGGGTGTCTAGCCACTAAGCAGGAGAACGATTAGGGTTCTCAACCAAAGCCTTTAGTTCTGACAAGAATCTAGCCGCAAGGTAGCGGGTGAAGTGAAGTGGAGGCCGATTTACTTTGATCAATACTCCTCCACCATTTCTTACCGACTGAAACGCAAATTCTAGTCAAACCCCCAACCTGGAGGACTAGGAAACTGGACTTCGTTCTACCTCTACCCTTCAACCTTCCAGGCATGATTAGATCGTGGCTTGACAAAAGCCATCCTGTGTAGCTCGTTGGGTCAGAGAGGTGCACAAGCCATCACACCACGTCAAGGTGCAGTCTCATCGTGATGGCGTCAACCCCTACCCATTGTGAAAAAACCTGAGTACTGAAATCCCGTGAAATCGAGCATGCGAGTGTGCAATATGAGTCACTATTTACCGTCAATCAGAGTGAGTCATATGACTAGTTCACGTGACTCAAGGACGCCACTAAGCAGGTAAAATGAAACACCTATCATGTGAAGTGACAGTTTCGACTTACAAGGATGAAAATGTTCAATTGCTACTCCAAAAGCGGTCACTTCGGGGTAAACACTAACGACGCTGACCAACAAAGGTCGCATATGAGTTGTTTTGTCAAGATGTATTCATGTGATTAACAAAATAAATGAAGTCGCGAAAATCAATTTTATTTTTTACATAATGAGCACATTACTTTGTTCAGAGTGCAGTACATATGTATTACCGAAAAACCTACTTTTCTCGAAAATTTGTATTCAAGTTGCTGATAAACAACTGCGGCGAAGTGAGGAAATAACTTTTTACACACAGATATTAGTTTGAAATTGAATGCCCCACACGATCGGGTCTATACAATCCGAACCAGGAAATTGAGTATGAAAGACCTGACAAATCTGGAATCTCTTGGAGTTCAATCAAAATGAGCACGGGTATCGTTATTCCAGGAAGNCAGGAAGCCTTTGGATGCATATAAATTTACTTTTTCTCCGATGTATAACGAACCATCCTTCTGGCCATAAGGTGAAACAATGAATGAATTGAACTACCGTTACATAAAAGTCAAACTTATCTACACACAATAGATGGGGAGTTCGTTCATGGAAACCGACAACCTAAGTCCCNAAGGCGCGTGTTGAGTCAGACAACAGCGAAGCTATCTAGCATCGAATTTGGATGGAAGTGGGGAGGGGGGGGTGTTCGAAGGGCGGTCCACAGAGCCCTAAGCACACTGGTGATAGCAAATGAAACCGCTTGAACCCACTGACTCAAATGGACGCGTTCAAAAGTGACAAAATAGTGTTTTGACTTGCGAACAATCAACTTGTCAATGAATTGCTATATTCGTGCTTTCTCTAGCCGAGTATACTTGTTCCAAGTAAAACCGCAAAATTGCCAAAGAAGTTTACATGCATCTATTGAGCGAATGACAAGGTGGCTCCAAGTTACAGTTGGTTCACTTGACCTGTTCATGGGTAGTTGAAAAACAGTAAGTCAGTAGGATAGCCAATAGTTTATTTGAACGAAACATACGAGTATACGTACACAGAACTCGTGCCAAATACAAATCCACACGGCGATTGTGGACGGCAGTTAGATCAAATTAGTCACTAAAGACCATCCAATCACGTTCAATAGCCCGAGGTTTCCATGCTTTCATCAGCTCTAACCACCTGTTCGGACAAGTTCATACATCATTAGCTGCACTGACCGAACCACAGTCACTCTGACCTTGTCCAAACATTTTGACCTTTGAAACTTCATCCGTTTGTCCCTGATCACAGGCACGTACACAAACAAACGTGCTACCCTATTTAACAAATGAGTCTTATCCGTTCACTGTGCAGCGCTAAACATCATACAGTAAAACAGCACCGGTGTGATACTAAACGAAACTACACCAAAACGCTGTTGACACGACAGCAAACGACGGCGCTGTTTAAGTTCATAGCCTCAGAACTCTTGAGTGTAAACGAATGTGGAACAGAAATATGCACTACATGCCAAAGAATGAAGCATAGCGCCAGCTACATAAGTGGTAGGAAACAAAAAGGAGTTCGTTAATCAGAATTTCGATATTATTGTTTCATTGATTAACATATCATAGCTTAAATTTGCTAGACAATGAATACGTGTTGGCGTGAACGGGACAAACTCTAGAATACCACATTGAGAGATTTATGCCATGCGATGACCCGAACAGAGACTAATGAAATTCGCATCATTCATGTTTATGTACAGAGACGTAACCTTTAGTTGAACATTAGCTTTCGTCCTAATGATGTATTCCATCATCGGTTTTGTCTATTCGTTTTATATTGCGAAATTCTTGCGGACCTAACGGGTCGTTGATAGACAGTAAACAAATATATATATATTTCACTGAAGTGATCGGTACTAATGCGTGTCCAAACGTGACAGTCAAAGAGCGGAGCAAATGAAATGTAGTTACATTCTGTATTCGAGGCCGAACACGTCAAGATCAGCCCCAGTACGCCTAAATAAACGAATTAAAGAACATTTGCAAAAGAAATCCTGAGATGTGCGGACAATAAAAGGCTCTCAGAGCAGGATACATCCGTTAAAGGAGGAGAACCGGTTTCTATAACGCTAGATAATTCGACGCAGGTCGCAGTTTGTATCCAATATTCATATGTAGAAAAGATTATTCAGTAACATGACTCCACATCAGCACCTTGGATGCGAGTCACTCCGCGAAGTCCTTTCCGTCAGGTGAACTTGTGAGCCGATCGGAATGAGACCGACTGGCACGGAGCCTCATGCTTAGTTGAAATATTGTACAGCTGTTCCGACCTTGTCGGGTCTCACCAGTAGTACGAATCCAGTGATCTCTATATAAAGAATGAGCCAGGTATCTGACTCATAGGATGTAGGTTCACTTACACCCAGCTGATTACCAGACCACTGAACAGACTGCTTCGCTGTTTCTCTACCCAGCACATGTTTGCTCAAGGTGCGCGTTTAACCACGTTCATCTTAGTACCATTCTCTGTAGTTATTTCTTGATTAGAAACATTCTAAATGAGTGTTGGGGATCATTCAGATATTTTATTCTTTTAGTATCAACAGTAGCATAATAAACCTGCTGGCAGTTATTTTAGAGGCCAATCATACACTTGTAAAAAGCAAAGGAGCATATAAGCCTAGTAATCAGTAGGTTTCCAACATGGAATTCGATTAACACTAGTTGATTGTTTGCGCTGTATCAGAAACATCTCGATACGCAAGAATATGGAATCCAAGTGCGATACATTGGTTAATTGTTTCCAGCCCAAAGTGAATATCTCTTAGACTGATTACCGTCCATGTTAAAGGATAGAAAACAGGGCGCCAAATGAAAATGTCAACTTCTTGATTGCATATGAAAACGGATGTCCACAGCGTTCAGCAAAATCTACATCGTATCAAACAATAACCGTGCACGACTAGTAAAATAAAGAGTAAAAATATGATCTCTCAAAGGTGCTCCAGTACTCACTAAAATTATACATAATCTCCCCTCGGACCGAGAGAAAAACCGGATTTTTGGATGATATATCGAGCGGCCTTCAATCCACCTGCGACTGCCTGATCAACGGAGTTACTATCTAGGTAGTCTGCAATGAAACCAGCAGCCAAAGCATCTCCAGCGCCGTTGGTGTCCACAATCTGCTCATTGGAAAGTAGATCGACGGGGTAGGATCGAACTTCACTCTCTCCGCTAATTGCAACAAGGACTGGGTTTTTCGCTTGAGTGATTACTACCACGCGTTTCTTGTCTGTCTCCGATGGGCGTGGTAAAGAAGCCATCATCTTGGCGACTTCCAACAATGATTTACTCCCCCAATTGTGGTTTGCAGCGTAGGCATCGGCTTCTTCTTTGTTACAAAAAAGAACGTCCACGTATGGGATGATGGAGTTAATTTGATCAGCGAAGAATGTAGGTAGGAAGGGAGCACTCAAATTGAAGCTAAACAGTTTTCCATTCGTAAATGAGTGCCGAGCGATCTCCAGGACCCCTTCGTAGCAAGAGTTGATTGCGTAACCCTAAATGAAAATAACGAGTCAGCGGGTTGTCACACACTTACCGCAATGTAATATACACGGGCCTTTTCTACAAATTTCCACGTATCCGGGTTTTCCAAGTAGTCCAAAGTGAGTTCCTTTGAGGCGCCTAGATGAGTGACCATGCTTCGGTATTTGCTATTCAATAGGACCGCACATTTCCCTGTGCCAACTCCATTTTTAGCAATCTGAAATTTGGGTAGAAGCTTCAGTTTTGCACACTCCTTCTCCAAGATCTCTCCAGCGTAGTCCTTACTGATGCACCCGATGTATGCACACGCGTGCGGTTTATCTATAATCCACTGAATCATCTTTATCGTGTTTAGCGTAGCACCACCCGCTATATACTCCACATCTGATGATTCACTAATCTCATCGTATAGTGGCATATGTCGATCCTCAGCAAGGATAGCATTGTCTGATTCCAAATTGTACTTTTGGAGAACCGAATCGTCAACATTCAGCTGCATATCCAAAAGAGGATTTCCAATTCCAAGCACGTAGCAGTCGCCATGTGAATCCATGTTGTGACAAAATCCGACACACAGGAACAAACGATTTTATATCGAACCAGACGGCCAATCCACACCGGAGAGACCAATGATATTCTGCCCACAGACTGGCGTATGTACCCCATTCGCCCATCGAACTTGGTTTGTCAATTGTTTTCAGCCCCTCCAATCAAAACGAAGAGCCGAGGTCATCGTCGACCAATCATAACGTAAAGTATGTGCGTAGGAGGCGAAAGTTGTGTATGCGCACGTCCGTTCAAGCCACCGGCGCTTTGAGACAATTTTCGCATCACTCGGCGAAAGACACACCAACAATTTGTTAGGCACAAAGAATGCGTGCATCAACAGGATGAGCAGCCAAAGATGTGATAAGGGCATGTGCGCTTCGCACGCAATTGACAGCATGACCATGTACGCACGCGTCGCCTGTTTGTCCTGCCCGCGGGAATCGGTAATCAGTCCGTGATTTCATGCGCGCAATATCTTTCCCCTTACAGAGAACTTGTTTCGTTAATTCAGTCAGCCAGTTCTTGCGCCCGACTGGGTAAATTTCCAGCTTTTTTTTAGCTTTATCTATGTATAGTTTACGGAATTAGGCAAAAGGAGATTTACATTGATCAAATATCAGCTTTTTAACTAGGTAAACTACGTAATTCCGTGGAAACGTTATCCTTATAAACAACCGAACGTACGAGATAATTCAGAACAGAATTACGAGAGGTAGAGGGCAAATAGAAAGTTGAACCTAAAGCTTGCTATTTATACAAGTACAGATTTGGAAAATTCTTCCAATGATGAATGTTTGACATAGAGCCTTCATGAACTTTTTGATGTCTATCAGTGATAGAGTCAAAGCATGTACCTCTAAGAATACCACTAAACTCAGGGCATACTTCAGAGATCTTATTAGTATTTCTCAACGGGTCAGAGAAAACAATTAGGGGGCAATGCAACCAGTAGTACAGTGCTCGTGCGCTTCAATAGTTGATAATCAATTAGTGAAACAGAAACTAGCCCTGATCGGAGTGATAAATCTAGCAGTTTTCCCATTTTACAGAATGCCTCTTGAACGTGTATGATCCATGATGAGCTGTGAGGAATTTTCGCCTCATTTGATGTTCGTGTGTATTTGTATTGAAGCTTTGGTAATTTATACACAAGATTTCCGCCAAAAAGAAACCACTGCTACGATACTGACAGAAAGGATAAGTCGGTATGTGGAATGTAGCCCGAATTCAGCCTTCAGACAATCAGGGGAAATCATAGGGAGCAGCAAAGGAGTATAGGGAGAAAGAATTGTTGGGCAAACGCTCCAACCACCGACTGATCAGAAAGGAAGTGACGCAATCCCCTTACCTGAATAGACAGAACTTTCAGTTTGTGAGCAACCGTTTGAGTATGTAAAGAACAGCGAAGGTTACTTTCAAGTGTAATACTAGGTACTTCACATGGCTGACCTGCTCATCGGCTTTCCCTTAATCTGTACATTGTTGGATGGGGTTCGGAACGGTTCGAAGTAGAAACACATTCAACGCAGAACCAGATAAAGTAGAATATGTAGCGGGGTGGGACAATTCTGGGTTGTATGTCGCTAGTCCCGATTAGTCATATATGGAAAAAGAAATAGCGGTGTTATCAGTAAATTTAAAATGTCGTATAGTGAGAATCATCAAACAGCAGAGAAAACACTCTGGTATTCTGAGGTATATAAGGAAAAAGAACGAGTTGGACACCGGACCATAACTTCGTTTGAACTTCTACATTCTCGAACAACACCTTAGACGTACGTGTATTCAATGGATGTAGAAAGAGTGAGAAGCTGTTTAAGATCAGGGGAAAAATTTCACCTTGCAGAACACCAGCAGCAACCGGAGAAGTAGAATATTTCTTACCGTTGAAGCACGTGAAATGTCTTCGATCTGTGAACTGATCGCGCATAAATCTGTAAACATTTGGAGCCACATCACCTTCGGGGATCGGACTGAGCAATTCCAATCCATGAAGACCACCGAAAGCATTTTCATTGTCTAAAAATACAATCCTGACAGTCTTTCTATGACTGAGATTATTGTGCGCACTAGATGAGCAACGGAATTGTGTGCAGCAAGAAGCAGGATAAGTAAATTGATGTGCATTATCTTCAACAGATTCTCTGAGAGCCCCATTGAAATAACTTGAGCAAAACTGATGTGCAGACGATAGGATGGTACTTTCCATGTTCTGTTTTAGGAACCTAAATTACCTGGGTCAGCCTCCGAATATCAAGAATTTCCCAATTTGTTAGTCAGCCATTGAAGATGTTAGATAGTAGAATTTAAAGGGTGTCGACATATACCTTGAGTGACACCGGTAGCTAGTCATCGCAAGCAGAGATTTTGTTGATCTTAATGTTCTGAAACTTTTGGCGGATCGTGGCGTGGTCGATGATTGATGATGGCGTAAAGTTATTCAAGATTAGCAGAGCTGCAGATTGTGAGAATGAGCAGGTCTCAGAATTTAGACTTTCGGAATGGACAACTCCCCTGTTTTGGTTATTTTACTGTCACACCGGAGTTTTATATCTCTGCATAGGCTACGGCAACTGAAGTGTCTAGGTACAACTTATTTAAGCAAATAATTTTTGCTTTGATCAAACTGGTGAGCCCTGAGTTGGCCATTCGAGTTTTAGGCCCGTTCTTTCCTTTTCCTGTTCTGAAGAATAAAAGTTCGTGGTCGGTTTGGGAAAACAAACTCTGATTGTCCATCAAGTACGGTACGAAAATGTACACTATTCCGGAAACCAATTTTGGTGAAGAAATGTACATCATGCTTTTCACACTCATCAATAAACACAATAAGAGTCATTGATTCGGATTATCACGGTGGCAGACAAATAATCAGAAGTTTGTCATCAGTTCAATTGTCAATATATCATGTGGCAGGTAAACTTTTTCCCAAAGGTACGGAACAAAGTACACTTACAAATGTGTCAATGTTGTGGCAGCTGGTCTTATTTGTTCAGTATTCTAACATCAAAACAGATGGTTTGCTCAAGTTGTTGGTAACAAAAACATAAAACAGCGCCTCGTTTACGAACGCACATGGGGCAGTCAGCCTGAAAATCAAAACTATCCAATTGTCCAATTTCACTGGGAATTTCTTCTTGGAACCACCATTCGTGTTGCATAATGATCCCACGGAATTGGGGTTCTTTCCTTCGCCTGGTGGTTTCTTCTGCATTGATTAGGCCGGTAGACAGGGAATGCTGATCAGTGAAATCAGAGGAGTTTGTATTTTTCGGGCAAAGTTTTCTTCGAGAACCACTTGCCAACTTATCTGATGTTTTCTCTAT